AAAATGCCAATACGGCGGAAGCTACGGCCCATGGCGCGCGAATCGGAACGTGACTACCTGTCACCGTACTGTGAAGACGTATCAGGCTTTTCGCTGCGTCATGCTCCAATGTGTGCATTGACCTGGTATACGTATCGCATATCGAAGCCGTCGGCAAGCAATGTAGGGCTTATCGTTCACCCTTTGCAAAGTTACAATTAACGAGACAGGATATAACCGTGGGCTCTCACTCTGCTGGCGCCGTCTGGCTGTTACCGGCTGGCTATATTGAGTATAAAGATATATGTAAGTGCATTTTATATTAGATATATGTTATCTTATTAAGGCGCACACATTTCAAACGTCAAAAGCGTCACTTCTTCCTCTGATAACTATACTCCGTGACAACTTTTCTTGGCAATGTAGTGGAAGGTACAGGCCCGCGTCCCCTCTCCCATATTGAGTGTGCGCAGGCTCTCCTCCTCTCCCCGGAAATGGGGGAGGAGGAGAGCCTGCGTACACTCAAAATGAGAGAGGGGACGCGGGCCTGTACCTTCCACTGCATAGCCAAGAAAAGTTGTCGCGGAGTATAAATCCTGTAAGGAGTAAACTTCGCGCGGCGTATAAACATTACGCAAAACAAAGTCCTAAAGGCCCGTTCACACTCTTGCAACGGAGTACAACCGACAGAGACCAGACCGGTTTTTAATCCTCTTGCGACTTCTTAGAACCGGATGCGCTACAGCGGAGCTGGTCCTAAAGGCGCGTTCACACTCTTGCAACCGAGTACGACCGAGAAAGACTTCTTGGGACCGGATGCACTGAGCGGAGCTGGTCCTAAGAGATCGCAAGAGGCTTAAAAACCGGTTTGGTCTCTCTCGGTCGCACTCGGTCGCAAGAGTGTGAACGGGCCTTAAGAGATCACAAGAGGCTTAAAAACCGGTCTGGTCTCTCTCGGTCTTTCTCGGTCGCAAGAGTGTGAACGGGCCTTTAGTCACTGGGCAGTGGACGCGTGCGCGTCGTCTGATATCCCGCAGAAGAAAGCTACTGCGGGTGCTCAGAACCCGTTTTATAGCCCAGTAGACAACGATGGCTGTGCTCAGACAGCGATCCTCACAGGCGGGCACGTTGTAACCAGCGGGATTACGGTTCCCGGAGCGCGTCTCCGACTGGTCTGTTTAGCGTCCTGTTTTTGCCAATTCGGGACCACATCAAAAGTGGTCCCGAATTGGTAACAAATGACGTCACAGAAACCGGAGTGTCATGCTGTCGGATGTCGCGATCCAGGCGGTTGGTCGTAGAAATGCTGGCGAGAAGCACGAGCGAACGCGAGTGTCGGTGTCGTCGCGGCGTCCGAACTTCTGGCTGCCGAAGCTTCCGTGGAGTGTCACGCCAGAGAGCGACCTGCAGCAGAACAGGCGTCTGTTACATCCACCACCGCTGCTGGAACACCGCCAGGATCGCGACCGGCGACAGCATGAGACTCTTATGACGTCACCAGGCAGAAATCGAGGAATCACTTTTTTTGGACGCGGTAAACACACTAGTCGCAGACGCGGCGTGCGTGAACTACAGGGGGCGCTTTTCTAGCTATCATCATCATCGTTTGTGATGTCACGGGTACGACGGTACGACAGACTGGGACAGACCGCGTCCAAGGTATATGTACATGGGTAGCGAAGCTTCCATAGAAGCCCACATGTCGAAAAAATGGCGGCCCATGGAGCTGCTTTAGCGCCATCTATGAGTCGTGGGGACACTTCCGGCGGAACAAAAAATCAACAGGAAATGACGACACTTCCGGAAAAAAACGTGACGTCATGCGTGCGTGCGGTTTGGCGCGAAAATTAAACAAAACTAATTCCAGAGATCACAGGTAAATGAACGACATATACACTAAAAAGTCTCAAACATAGCTCCGTGTTTGAGCTTTGTTTGATACTTTTTAGTGTATATGTCGTTCTTTTACCTGCAGTCTCGGGTTTTTCCTGGGGTGTTTACACCTTGTGTTTACTCTATACTGGAATACTGGATCGTTTACACCCTTATTTGCCCTTGCTCTTATATTTTGTTCGAAATGTTTTTTTTTCTGCAGTCGACTTTGTTAGCCGACCTGCTATGAGAGTAGTTTCATTTCGTCACAACCATCGTGTCTTTGCACTGTGGTCAAACTCCAGCCGCAGTGTTTTGCTTTTTGGTCCTTCAGGATCCCTGGGAAATATGTGAGAAACCTGAAAGCAAATTATGTAACGTCACAAAAAAGAGTGAATCAAATTGCTGGAGTGTGTTGGGCGTATGAAATACACAACAGTAACTCTAATGCAAGTCCAACGTCGCTTTAACAGTCGCGTTTTATTTGTTTTATTCACTTACAATCATTCACTCAGATTACTCACTAGAATTATACAATCGGTATCAACTATTTTCAAAAGGTCATGGTCGAAGAAAATTAGTAGATCGGTACATAAGGCACACTGTTATAACATAAGACATTGTACAATCGGCTGGACGTTGTGAGGACGTTGACAGTTGATAGGCAGCCACTAATAACTCAGAGGTTCCACAGTGTTCCGACGACAACTGAGGCCACCACTGTAATACACAGAAAAGCTACACTTTTCTACACATTCCTTGGGCAAGGTACCATAATGCTGAAAATATCTTAACTTGCATCTGCTGGTGCTGCTACACGGCAACGCAGCGATTGTTTGGTGGAGGTCAAGGAAGCCAAGTGGAGTAAACCCTCTTGGAGCCCTGTGGTATGCTGCACTTCATAAGCCAGTTTTGCTTCACAGCTTTAAACTCTATATATGTGAATAAGTTAGAGGACCACATTACTCCTCAAGAAACCAAAGAAAATGAAAGGCTCGAATAGAACATGCCTGCACTGCTTTAAAAAGTACTCTGGGTGGTCTCACATACGTAGTCTGCGCACTTGCTGCCTAGCTTTACACTTTGCTACTGTATCAAATAGTCAGCATTTTTTTTCCGCGCGAACCAGTGCAGAATGGCTCTGGCAATCGGAGAAAACAAATTATCATAAACACTTTCGTCACATACAGTCAGAGACTTTGAAAGCTTCTGGTTAAAAAGGACACAAAGAGTCCGACCTACGTTCTCCTTTGAAATTAGGTTGTTGATACATGTCTCGAAGACTTCCTCACAAGCTTCAACAAATAATATGAAAGAAGCAGAAGGAACTGAGAGGATTCCAAAGTGGGAGTCGGCAGTTCCTTTCACACTCAAATACAAGAGCACTTGATTTCCTTCAGAAAAACACGCATTTTCTGTCCTCAACTCATATTTCTGGGATATTCCTACACAGGAATGAACCTTGAGGAAGTTCGATGCCAGCCACCCAGCAAAATAAACCATGTTGTTCTCTCCTATTGCCAAAGGGTAGTTTGAAGGCGAATCGTCTGCCGTGGCAAGAAAAACTGTGCTTCCTAAGGCAAGACGAGGAGAAGGTGCCAAAAGGCCTGCTGGGAACGTAGCAAGGAGAGACATGTCATCAGCACAGTTTGATTTTTCCGACAGCTTGAATAGGTTGCTAATCAAAAGGTGCCTGAACGCAGCCTGAAATTGACGGAAAGTGGAGTTCGTGTTTGCACCTGATTTTGAATGTACAACAGCAAAAGTGTTTTCAAGGGTGTCCTGGTTCAGATAGCGGTTTAAAAGGTGGGAAAAACCGCAATTAACCGCGAGGTGATTGCTGAGCAGCAGTAGAGACCTAACTGTTAAGCAGAAGCCACGAATGCAGTGTGGCTGCCTTCCACATCCGAGTACTTGCAGGCTCTTAGAAACCAGAATGCACTCTTTCAGAAACTCCTCATGGATAGAGCCGTTACAGATTGCAGAGGCATATGGCGTCTTTGCAGATTTCTGCGAGCTATTTACGCTGTCAAAGAGACGGTCGATTCTTTCAACGAATCTCGCTGTGTGAACAGCTCTGGCTGGCAATTGCTCAGAAGTAACAAGGGCGTACATTGCAGCTGCGCAGTGATTGCTAAACACTTGAGCTGCTAGTTTCACCGACATCTTTGACGAGAAGGTCAAATTAAAATGCTTCTCCTTCAGCTTTAGCATAGAACCGATCTCAAGTTTACGGTCCTTTTCATAAGCTTCCTTGATGTAGGAACTTTTCACTATGTAATCACCAACTTTTTAGTCGTATTTAAATAACATGTTTCTTAGTCACTTCAAAAGGTGCGGAGCATTGAAAAGGAAAAAAAAAGTGGCTTGCCATTGATCTCTACGTTAAGGCTTTTCGGCAGTTACGATGCTTGAAAAAGAGACAGGTTCTGGCACCGTTCATCGCATACAACAGCTACCGGCTTCAGGCCAGCGTCCACAAGGGCGCTGTAGCACTGGAAAAATAGATCTTTTAGTACATCTGAAGGTGTGCCTTTGTGAGCAAAAAATAGCCAAGCGGCTGCTTCCACGGTGTTCCGACTCCTTTCGCCATGAACATGAGAGCCTTATTTGCCAGTTTTTTGCTTTGCTGTCCACTATGTTCTTTAAGTCTTTCAAACCTGTCAGACGAGGGGTTGTATGAAAGCTCTTTTTTGATGTGCATTTCATCAAAGACTATGCTGCAGGCCCAATCGGCTCGAGGAAAAGTAGCTGCCCGCCTCTTCATCAGCTCGAAAATGCCAGGGTAAAATCCAATCTTTAGTGGCACACGCTGAAGCCATAGCTGCAGTGACCTTACTGATGGCAGCCTGAGCAGTCGCCTGCAACACTTATAGCCTTTGGGGCTATGAAAGTAGAGGCCTAAAGCCAAGGCTTTGTTGTGGCTGCACCATCTCTGGCCAAACCGGCTCACATTGCTCATTCTAAGCTGGGCTTCAACGAGTGCGGCGACACGAGGAGACACATGAACGCGGACACTCTCAACGACTTCGGCAACAGTCCTCATCTGACGTTGTCGTTGCAGCCTTCTTTGCAGCCTTCTTTGCAGCCTTCTTTGCAGCCTCTTGTTACGCTCTTGAAGCTGTCGCACCTTGGCTCTCAGGCGTTCACCTTCTTGTTGCCGATGCTGCAGCTTTTGCAGGGTGCTGCAATTTGGCAAATGACCCAGATTAGGTCCCCAAGAAAAACTTGCATTCGCCATCAATTTATTAAATGTGTAATCTATTCACGCTCAAGAACATTCCTCAATGATCTGAAGTGTCTTTAAACAAGAACTGTAAGTTTGACAAACTACACATGCCATTCAAGTTTAGGAAAGCAACAGTACATCTTTATGTTCGACTAGGCGCTTCATGTTGGCCAGAGACCTGATAGTCCAAAAAGACAAGGGCGCACACAGAAACATGCAAGTCAGAATAGGCATCCAAACTGTGAAATGCATTTTCTTAAAGCTTGACCATACCTTACTTATGCCCACGGCATTGTAACAGTGAAGCGCTCGCACAACAACAGGCAACTAAAGTTTGGCAGATAGGACAAGGGACCATGACAGGCTCAGCATCCCACACCTATGACCACGGCAGCTTTTCGATAACTTTAAAAAACAGTCTTACGTGACGTTTTGCGGGAAGACTTGTGATTCAGTGAAACCGGTTCAGTTGTTTTGATTTGACGGTGTTAACACCTGCGCGTGGAACATTTTTTTTTGTCTTTTTTTGTGCTTGACAATGACAATACCGTGAAACAAAAATGTGGTGAACTTTGAACAAACTTCGATTTGTAGCTGCCAGCTAGTCGGTCTGGTGTTATGTGGCCCCTTGCGTCATCTGCTCTCAAGATAAAGTTTAGTATCCCCTGGTGTTTTTCGAGCCTTGGCTTTTTTATTTTTGCGGCCTGATCTTTTATAACTTCACACACAAAAACTGCAAAAGAAAAAAGTTTGCATCATAGAAAGCACTCACATTTGTGAGAAGGCCCAGCAGCACAGCCAGAGAGAGAGTCTCTAGGCGACGGTGTAGAAACCAAAATCTCCATGTCAACCACGTCCCCGCTGGACTCTTGAGCAGAAGCAGCATCTTGACGTAGAACGCAGCTGTGATCAACCGCAAAAAAAAAAAGAAAGAAAGAAAGAAAGAAAAGCTTTTGTAAAAACTGCAAGTAAGAAAGCAAGTTCAACAGAGCGGAAAGTTGGACGAGTTGGTCGTTCATTTAAGCTGGCAGAAACAGTGCCTCTCTGTGTACTTTTACTGCGCCTGTCTGTATACTCCTTGTTTCCTGTTTTACGTCAAGTTGCGCTGTTTCTACCACTTGAGAAAGCAAGCTCACAAAGAAAGGGGAATAAAAAGATAGAACAAGCAATATTCGGCCACCACTTATTATTGGCCCCTAGTCGACTGTTCTCTAGTAAGGTGCACGAGTATGTGTGGTCCAATGAAGCCACAGAAATCCGCTCTGCAAATTTAATGTGAACTTAGCAAAGGAGAAGAGGTAGTCCTCCCTTATTCCCCTATTCGAATCCATAAAAATTATATTCACCTTCCTTTATGACAGGTTCAATTCAGAAGACTGGTCAACAGGGTGACTACAGGAACTCCACCAGTCTGAGTGGCCGGAGTATATGTGCAGCTCGATGAGGCTGGCGAAATCCTCTTTGCAAATTTAGCGTGAAGTCGGCCATAGAATAGTAGTTGAGTTCCTTCCTATGTGTCTATTCTAACACACGACAAAGAAAATCACCTTGTTCCCACGAAAGTTTCATTTCGGAAGACTGGTCTTCAGGGTGACTACAGAAGCTCCGTGAGTCTGAACTGCCGAAGCATGTGTAGCTCAATGAGGGTGTCACACTCACCTCTGCAAAGTTATGGTGAATTCGCCTATTTTAACACAAAATTTAAATCACTTTCTTTCATGGGCAGCTTTATTATGGAAGACTGGGTGTCGGCAAGGCAAAATATGCTCTGTGACGTTGATTATGTCACCTCAAGTAAAACATGTCATTATAAACGGGGCTGAAATGAACTTCTAGCAGTACCTCTGTCCTTGTTCAACCAGCTTTTCCCAGCTAATCTCACCTAGTTCTTTTGCGAAATGCTCAAGTCATGAAGACCATGAGTTAATGCCGTGGTGCTGGCAGTTGCTGCCACTTTATGTTAGTTTCAGTGAAAAAGCTCACCATGCAAAACTGCTGAACCTGGAGAACTTTTGCTGGAAATGTCGCCATGTGTCGTCCCTGCAAATAATATAAAAATGTTATGAGCCCACAAAAGCAATATTTCAACCCCATGTGGTAACCATTTTTCTAAGAGCGGGTTAACCATGCTTAGTCACAAAGTGCACGGAATGTTTATTGGTCTGTTTACTTTTTGTGGGAAGCACACTTAGCAACGCATTGTGACGGAGGTGTCCAGGGCGCATGAGAGCTGACTCCTCGAAATGTAAGGAGAAAACTACCCTGTCTCGTAGCTGCCATGGAGTCTTCCCCTGTAGACTTCAGTTGTTGCAGAACCGAACCCAGGCTTCGCGCCTGCAGATAAGGCATGGTGCTATGAGGGTGCCATGAATACTTACGAAAAGAAAATGTAGCCAAAATGTCCACAAACCAAAGCAAATCAGTGCAAGGACCTTAACAAATGCATGACATCACTGCTCTGTGTACATCATGAAGAGTAAAAACACGAGTCTTACGCACAGATGCGCTATTATATATCTGTGTTGTACCACTGATAACCACGCCGATGATCACGACACTAGGCTCCTCAGAGCCAGGCCGGTACAGGTAAATTTTAATATCGTGGGCACTTTTATAATAACGGTACACAACGCTGCGAAGTCAGTGATTTCGAACTTAAAACATTCCTAGTATAACATATTACGCCTTCTTGTGCACATCCAGACAACCCTAATAGTTTTAGGTAAAACTAACAAGAGCTAAGAGGAGACCGAACAAGGGGCATACATCACACAGCAGGCATGTCACTGACAGTAGCGAAGTCTCACCTTCAAGCGTCGAGGGGAAACCGGTGCAGCGAGATGCCAGCCGTGCGGGTGTTGCTTTCACACATTTCCACGGAGCACCGTTTCTTTGCGTATCGCGCTGTGCTCATCATCGCAAAAGACGTTGAGCCCCTTAGGCGCAGTAGCGTCCAAGATCCAAGCGCACGACAGCCGAGTTCCCGCGCAGGTAACTGGGCTAATCACGCCCGAGCAAACAACAAAACTCCCGAAACGGTGTTAACTGCCGCTAAAACAATTAAAAGCGAAGAGCACGTGGAGGCCCAAACACAAGCAAGCAGACGGACGTCAGCAGACTGCCTTTCCGCGCGCCACGAGGTCTTAAAAAAAACTGCAAATATCGCTATTGCTCGTCGGCCTTTTTGCTAGTGGCGTACAGAGGACGCTAATAAGAAGTATGCATAATATTAGCAAAAACAAAAACAGTTTTGAATTTCGTTGCATGTTAAATATGATTGATATTATCTAATAATTTAATTTAGCTTGTTTAAAAATACCAATGATTATACTTCTAGTCACAAACTAATTAATTTTAATAATGTTTGTCCCCACCTCTCCTAGTCGCGCTTCAATCGCATCCTTCACGTGACCCTCCAGGTCGATGTCGCTAGCGATTTGTTTTGAACCGCTTTTTGGCCGAAGCTTCGCTACCCATGTACATATACCTTGCCGCGTCGATCTTGGATCCTTCGGCTCGTCAGCTCGCTTCTATAGCGCTGTGTGGGTAACGCGCGGCAAAGCCTGTTTCATATGCGCTGTGTTTACTTGGTAGTTGATATTTGTAGTAGGATACTTCACTAAAGCTTGAAACCGTGGCACGCCTAGTCGTGCTACCAAACATTTTTGGCACTGAAGGTTTCGAAGCGATCGGATTGTGGTGTGCTGGTTTCAACCTCAGTGCAAAAAGCTGGATGATGAAAATAGAATATTTAGCGTTTTACCCCACTACAACGTGTACCACAGCGAAAAGGCTGTATTTTTGTTATTTTTATGATTCGGACTAAATAAAAGTGAGAAAGGAATATCTCACCCAACTGAAAATAGGAAGGCGAAATTCGAGAACCTCTTGTGTGTGTAGTGAACACTCCAGTAAACGTGACTCCCTGTATCCTGTTGGTTCCAAAGTGTTCTATGAGTGCTGGTCTCTTATTAGTTCCAAGTTAACTCTTTCTTAAAATTTTTAACCAGTAAACAAACATTTCCTCAAAATAACTGGCAGAAAGAAGCGGTGGCTGACTACCGGAGTCTCTTCAATTAAATCCCCGCTTATTCACCCGCTCGACGCGAAACGCGCGAGACCCCCTCGCAAGTAAATCGGTGTCATTTCAGCGTCCCAAAAAATGAGGTATACACCTGCTATGAATTACTACCATTGTATGTTTAATTTCGCGAACCCAGATGCGCATAATGCGTGATGCACTTCTCAGCGAGCAATTTTGAATTTGTAAAGAATCTTGGTAAATATTGGATAAAACAAATGAATCAATCGGCTGAATTTGCCGGGCCATACCGGCAAGTTGAGAATTTATGAAAATTTCTGCTTTTCTTTCGAGCAGGAGTAGGGATGTGACAAACTTTGTAATCTATTCGAAGCGAGAGGAGCTAAGCTTCTGTTGCTGACGAGCATTTGCTCGTCAGCGACTGTCGAGTTACACTTTTATAGAAGCGTCGGCATCGGCAAGCTCAATGTATCTAAAACAAGTGTGCGGCACTTTGCAATGAAACTCTGCACGCGCGCACACATAAGAGACAGCACGTCATTTACTCTGGTAAATGCAAAACCTATTTCTACACAAGCCTTCACAGATCCGAAAAAAAGAAAAAAAAAAAAGAAACAAGAATGAGAAAGGCTGTAAATAGCCCTGACGCACGCCGCGCAAGCTGTAATGTGAAGCCCCAAGCTTGTTTTTGAACATTTTAAAGTTTGTTTTAATATAAAAAGCAACTTCGAAGCACTGTTATTCATTAGAAAGATCGCTTACCAAAACGTCATGCATGTTTCTTGGATAAATAAACCGCTTTTAATCGGCACAGATGCGAACTAACATAGCCACTTCATGCTTTGACATAGCGCATCGTCTGCTCGCATCCTACCAGCTGCGTCACAGGAGGGCGCCCGCGAGGTGCCGCCACCAAAAACATAGCTCGCTTTGGTGTTGACTTTGGCCGGAAGGAAGTGACGTCATTCAGCCGCTTCCAGTAACCTCAAAACGCTTTTTATGGCGCCCAAGATTGTGGGAGTATTTTCGGCTGCCGTTGTAAACGGCCTACACGAGGAAGGTCATCGAATTTTAATCGCATTAAAAAAATCATGTAATCTTTTCTTTTTCGGCTTAGAGTCATTTTTTTTTTCTCGGGTTCTGATTATCCAAGACTTACGTAAGCGCACGGCTACGATTTTGAGTGAAGCCTAGGCACCCGATAATAAACCCCGGAAAAGGAATAAGGGGGCAAAAGCCAAACACAAATCTCCGAACACCTCTTCCAGGGATTATTATTGTCATTTTTGTTCAGCTCGCTTGCACCTGTGCATTGATTGCATTATCGTCCTAGGCACCTGTTTTCGAGATATCGGTAACTAATGTTGTCGGGAACCGAGCATTGCTGACATTAAAGGGCCCATGAAACGAATTTTGGGCTGGAATAAATCAATTTTTATTGGGATTTTACTAATAGCACATCGTTGAGTGGGCCAAAAGAAAAAAAGGTAGAAAGTCAAAAGCCTGACTTTCGGTACGAAACTGTGAAAACACAACGGACTATTTCGTACCTCCTTCCATTCGTAAGCTCTCTGCCTTTTCACAGTGATACTTCCGCGGTCCCCGCAGCGCGTCACCGGGCCCAAATGCACGTCACACCGACACCGGATCCCACCTAATCCCTTCACCCCTAAACCGACATTGTGGTAGAAGCTACGCACTTGCCGGACCAATCAGCCGCCTCCCTTTCATCACCTGACCTGATTCTCTGCGCGTGGG